CCGCAAGAGATTATGGGGTCATTAAACAAAACAAAAAAAACAACCCCTTCAGTTTTCTGTCTTTGTGCTACCCCTTGTCTAGTCTGCACACACGAGGGGTGTGTCTGAAGCAGGACAGACTCACCTCAAACCTTTCAATGGGATCCTCCTGCTGAGCCTGTTGCTCCCGCATCGTATGATATTCTCGCTCGTATTTCTTCAACTTCTTTTGGCTAATCTTAAAAAAAACACAAAAAAACATATTAGAGCTCCACCAACAGAATAGGATAGAATTCTTCATTGGCCAAGCGTGGTTGGATACACAAGGAATTTGTCTCCGACACATAAACTCTCAGTGTACATCCAAGTAACAAGTGATAAATCATGATCGTAATCATACAATCATCAAAAAATCACAAGATAGACCTCTCAGGGATTAAATACTAGGGTGCTAAATAAGCAATCTGTCAGGGTTCCAGCAGTTACTCCAATTCAGTCATGAGCCTTGAGCCACACTCCCAAAACTGAAGAGGATTTATTTGAAGGTGACATTCTACGTCCGGCACTAACCTGGGCGTAGCCGACTCTGAGATAGTAATTCACTGTCACCCTTGATCTTGCTTCCCCCCGCACCCCTCTGGGTGTATCATCCAATGAAAAAACATCCATAGCCAAGAGTCATCAATCATGCTCTCCAATTAGATTTTGCACCAGCAAAAGCTTCAGTCATCTAATCAGTCTTTGAAGAAAATATGAATGGAATGTACTTTCGAATCCACACTGCTGCCTGCTCTTTGAAACTCTCCCCCTTCTTTCTGTTGTCAACTATAAAACGTGTATACAAAATGTTTTTATGAGTTGACACAATCAACATAAATCATAATAGGATACTAAATAGAAGCAACCAACATAAATCTTAAGATTCAAACAAAGTGATAGTCATGAGAAGCTAAGGAAGTAAATAATAGGAAAGATGAGAGTAACACAGCCCTACTAGGTGGTTTGATATCTCAGGGCATAAGACAATGTTGTGGGAATTTGTTGTTTAGCAGGTATGGGACAGGGGTGGGGGGAGAAGTGTCCTTCTGTCTAGTTGTTTTGGCATGCAATGCCCCATAGCATCACTTTGAGAGAAGAAGTTTCTGTCCAGGGTGTGAGGGGTGTGTAGATATTTACACAGCCCTCTTTCTGGCTTGTGCAGTATACAGGCCCTCAATGGAAGGCAGGCTGGTTGCAAATGTTTTTTCTTTCTTTCTGCAGTCCTAACTATCTGTTGAAGTCTGTGTCTGTCCTATGTGGGTTGCTGTGCCAAACCAGACAGTTACAGAGGTGCAGATGACAGACTCAATCGTTCCTCTGTAGAACCGAACCAGCAGCTCCTTGGGCAGTCCTGAGCTTTCTGAGCCAGAGCAGGAAGGACATTCTTTGTTGGGCGTTTTTTGATGACGTTTTTGACTGGGTGTCCATTTTAAGTCTCGAGATAGGATAGAACCCAGAAACGTGAAGGTCTCTACTATAGATACTGTCTTGCTTAGCATGGTCATAGGTGGTAGAATAGGAGGGCTTCTCCTAAAATCTTTTTGCTTGCTGACATTGTGTACATTGTGTACATTGTACGTTGTGTACATTTTGTTAAGCTTGTCCTGGTGCTCCCTCTAGTGACCCTGAGGCAGAAGAGCTACCCAGGAGCGCGTGTGTGTGTGTGTGTGTGTGTGTATGTCTGTGTGTGTGTGTGTGTGTGTGTGTGTGTGTGTACGTGCGTGTGCACACAAAGGGAAAGAGGAGGAAGAGACAAATTCCTTCTTTTGTTCTTCCAGTGTAAGGCAGCCCAAAAGGACCAATCGGATAGACAGACCAGAGTTATTCAACAGGGGGAACTTTAAGCCCGGAGGACTTCAACTCCCAGAATTCCCCAGGCATTGTCTTAAAGTTGCCAAGGTTGAGAGGCATCAAGGGAGAGTCTCAAAGGAAAAGCAGGCAGTTCCCCGGGAGAGAAATTAAGATCTCATTAGGTGCTTTCATCAAAGAGAACACTGCATCAGAGTGAAAAAGAAGATAGGTGGCAGGAAGGGAGGAAGGAAGGAAGGAAAGAAGGAAGGAAGGAAAGAAGGAAG